GCTTTGATTGAGAAAAATACCCAAATTTAAGCTGTTAATCACTTACTAATTCTGAAAATCACTCAAAAACATTGTATTTATAAATGTTTCATTGTATTTATAAAAGAAAGTCAGATTTTTTTTTATTTAAAAAATATCAATAAAAATGTCATATTAAAATAATTTTTAAATGAAAATAAAACACTTAAATTATGAATTACTCAAATATTACCTTAAAAATCCTTCAAGTAAATAGTTTGTCAAAGGAGTTCATCTGACAGAAGTTTGGGAATCCCTGGTTTAGCCAGTCAGAAAACTGGGTATTAGAAATCTTTTTTCAAATAATTGTCTTATTTGTGATTGCTGGCAGTAAGTTTGCTGACATGTTTTTGAAGATACATGGTTAAATTTAGCAAATGACTAAAATCCATTACACAGCTCTTGCTTTACTGCCATCCAGTTTTAACACTTAATCTTGATGTCTGTCCCTGTAGGCCCCGCTGAACTCCACCGCCCTTCATAACTACCACAGAGGGGTTCAGATGGGCTGCTGGGGGCTGGTGATTTACGCCACCACCGCCGCCATCTGTTCAGGTAAGTATCCTGAATCTAGAGATGCGACCGTGTGATCTGTTCAAGTGTGATTCTTCATCTGTATGTCTTTTGTGAATGTAGCTGTACTGCAGAAGTACCTGGATAACTTTGACCTCAGCATAAAGGTCATCTACATCCTGGGCACTCTGGGCTTCGCCATCGGTACGGCTGTCATGGCGATCTTCCCCAATGTCTACGTCTCCATGGTGATGATCAGCAGCATGGGTATCATCTCCATGAGCATCTCATACTGTCCGTACGCTCTGCTGGGCCAGTATCATGATAATAAAGAGGTCAGAGCTCTTCATTCATCTCTGTGAGACTGTAATCCTGCCGTATTAAAGCTAATCCCAGCACTAGTCCTAATCTTTGTCCTGACCGACTCTCAGAACTCAGGGTTGAGGGTGACATTTTAATAAGTAACAGGCATTACATGTCATCAAATTACTTTCTGGGTGTAAAGAACAGTGTAAGTAGCTTACTTGACTATGTTGTTTAGTATCATGACAACAATTTTTTTTTTTTTTAATGTAGCTTTACTAGTAATCAGTAGTAGTATAGAATGGAAAAAAACGCTGTGCACACAAACAAACTGAATTGGAAATGCTTTCAATTCTAAATTTATTTTATTTTATTTTTTTATCTAAATTAATTTATATATATATATATATATATATAT